AATGACTGCATTAGCCGGAAGAAGTTAGAAATTATCCATACATCATCATTCATGCAGCTTTATCTAAACGGTTTTGTTAACTTACTATTATCCGGTTAATTTTCCATACTTCGGACTTAGCCCTAACCTTTATGATAATCCAATACCAAATTCACAAGATTTAAAACACATCGCCACAAAATCCCGTAGATATGTAACTTCTGGAAAGTTAGAAACCCCCTCCCTAATGTATCAAACATTTAAGACGAAAAATGTAGAATTTTGTAATGAAGCTGTGAAAAAATCAACAGGCTCGCATTCAATCCAAAACTCGTTACAACCCCGCCTTTTCAGAAACTCCCTCGTCGTGTGCCCTTAAAACCTGGTCTTTGGGCCCCAGTATGTGTCCCGAGTGTTTCTTGACCCGTATTCCACAAATTGATACAATTTTTCACTCACTTTGGTGTCTTCAGTGTGTCAGAGACTGACTTGCAGAATCTCAAAATTATATGTAAAAATGAATTTGAGTGATTTGTGTGATTTATCACAAGGATCTCCACCAATGTTTTAACATACACACTGTAGGAGAAGCATTACAAAGACGAATGGCGATGCACGGCTGCCCGTGAATGTGCCTCATGTTCCCAAAACTACATACCACTCCATTTTACTTCAATTAAAAGCGTCCCTTCAAGGTCACCAGCCAAATAAAAAGATGGCGACGCTGCCATCGAGTCGGGAGCTTCAAAGTTTCATGTGACGAAGCTCGCGATTGGACGACATTGTCCCACTTTCCTTCCAGCTCGCGGCCTTGAAGGGACTTTTTTCATCGGAGTATACTTGGAAAGCTACACTACGAGTTATTTAACCATGCGCTTGATCAGCTGTTCACGGTTTCATCCAATCGGGAGCTTGAACGTCCTCATACAGTGACGTCACTATAGTAACATTAAACTCCCGATTGAATGAAACCGCAACAGCTGATTACGTCAAGTGCACGACTAAATAAATCGTACGCTCGATGCATGCAGCACTGCAGCTGTTGCCAGTTTGAAATTACCCTGACAAGAGTTCGTAGGGCCAAGGGCCGAGGATGAAGTTCGGGCGTGAAGGGTTCTTGAGACTTCTTCGACTCTGTAGGGCCTCAGTGTCTAAAATGCGGAGAAAAATCTCCTAAAATATATTGAATTTGGATTATTCTGCTCGTTTCTATTTATTTCTTTTTGGGATAGCACGTGGTGTTAATTGTTATGAACAGTCGTCAAACCGTTTTGGCAATGATTGTCATTGAAATGTCCCTTCATTACCAACAAGTAATAAAAATAATAATAATTTTATTTCCGAGGCAGATAAAACTTTCCATGCCAATATATTTTCAGGAATAGAATACAAGGGCGGAAATGTTATGCGAAACCCGAAACTCATTCGAGATAATTATGTAGAGTACATAATTGTTTTGAGTTTCGAAACCAAACATTCGAGAAATGCAACATTTCATTCATCACAAAAAATTAGACATTTTCTTAATACTGTAATATGATACGCAGACATGTTTTCGGTTGGAATAAAAGACTACAACATTGCTGTCAATACTACCTGCAATACTAGTGAATGGCATGCACTTCCCGTAACGTTCGGTTTCATCAGGAACAATCGTAATAATTGCGCATCGCCATTCATTCGTCTATTTGATACTCCGCACGTAATACTCATAGAATAGAGATATCTCTCCTCTATGGTAATACTGGGCCTGTATGTTTAATACCAGAAACAAGCAAAAAACTGAATGCAACATTTCGAGGGAAGAAAAGCTTCAGTGTTCAGAAGCAGAACAAAGAGTCTATCTAAGTATTTACACAATGGATCAAAGATAATGGGTAGTTATGGTAGAATTTAGCATTCTAATTTTTTTTAAATAGCATGTTGAAAACAATGGTAGAGCATTTTATTGAGTTATTAAAAGTAAGGTTTAGGATGTGGTAGCATTTGTTGAGAAAATTGTAAGTGAGGGCTCTTTGGGAAAGTAGACATTTTGATGCTTTTTAGATATTCCCCATTAAAATAAGGGAATAATTTAATATTTTGGCACTGGTGAACTTAACAACTATTTAAAAAAGTAATTTTAAATCCACTGAATGATTCATCTTATATAGAACTATAGGCTTCTGAATAACTATTCAAAGGAGAGGAAAATTGTCTTACAATTTGTAAATACTTATTAAAACATCATATTCTTTTAAAGGTCACTTATTTTGTTAATGACTTTTTTTAGTAAATACTATTATCAATATGTTCTACAATCAGTCGAAAATTAATTGACAGCATGTTAGCTTCCTTTAATCTGTTTCATCTGAAAGTAACAATTGAACTATATTGACTGAAAAATCGTTCAGCTCTAACTGTTTTAAGCTTTCAGGATCTGTTTTTTATTTGTTCTTATTATTTTACATTGTTTTGATGGTTAAATCTTAATTATATATTAATAAACACAGCAAATGTCAAATTATGTTTTCAATCGTCCATGTGACGTTGTCGATGTTGTGTTCCTAGTTAGAATGTGAACATGAAGGAAACCATAAAATGCAATTTACCAGATTATAACATAGATTCACAAGCAATTCACACTTTGTACATGATTTCACATTTTATTGTAGATTGAAAACCTTCAGAAATATACTGAATACCACCCGTAAAACACACAATTACTCGTTTTTTTTCTGCATTTGGTAACATTTCACATTTTTAGGACTTGCTGAAATCTTCCATCTCTAATAATGGGGGATAAGATCAAGGTGTGAAGCACTGACCCAAAAGTTGATTATATTAGTTGTTAAAGGCAAATTCAGTCCTTCAGAATTATAAAAAACATTATGTTGATCAAGTGTGAACTTGATTTCAAGATTGGAGTGAGATAACGTATTTACTATGAGCATGAAGAAGGCTATGGTCTTAATCCAGCTCTTGCCAGTGTTCTGATCAGGCTTCAGGAAATATGAAAGCAAAGCCTCTGCAAATACATCAAGAAAATGAATGCTAGAGTAATGCTGACAATACATCAAGTTCCTTGGCATTTCTGAAGGGTATCCTTCAATGTAGCCTTGCTTTTGGAATGTTTTTTTTTTAGACTATTAATGAAGGATTTGGGCAGTGACCAACTTTGCCAAATGTACTTCCTAGTTTTTCAGAATGGGACCAAAATATACCAACATTAACATTTAAACATTCAATAAAATAAAACTGTTTCTGCTTCAATGCTATTACATATCCTAAATACTAACATTATGCAATATTCTTTTACAAACAAAAACCAACAGCTTATCACTTTTTAAAATACTCACACAAATTTAATAAAACAATTTAACTTCTAAATATTCAATAAAATCTCTTACTTTGAATAGTCATGTTATACTTTTTCAGGAATAAAATCTTTATTAAATAAAACCACTTGTTGAATATAGTTTAACAAACTCAGAAAAATCAATACTTTCAAAACTAGTAAGATCTCATTTCAGCTCTTGCCACATGATAATTAACTACTGAAACTACTATAAATTATTCTCACTGCAAAACGAGATTGCATGGCCACTGTGCTCAAAGAAAACGAATGACAAAAAGAATAAAAGGGCTAAAACTGACATGTTACATTCATGATCTGTAGCAGAATAACTATATACGTGAAATAAAATTTTTCTTACCTTCCCAAGTAACAAATATAACAATCCTGCTGTAATTCCAGTTAGTGATACGCCAACCAGTAGCTGAATTAATGATGGCTTGATGAGTGTCATACTGAATTGACAGACAATGCCGTTTATCTGAAAAGCTTTCAAGGTATACGCTAATGCAAGTACTTTGCTTAAATGAGTAAATTCGACCGGACCGGTAACAAAAATGCAATCAACATCTGCTTATTACTCGAATAAAATGCCGCCTACACTCTCGCACACTAGTAAATATCGACAACTAATATTAAAAATACAAGTGACACCAACTTCCAAAATGTATTACGATCGCCTCACCCAACCTTCCAAACAAACAGCATCACCACCGTTTTTACATGTTTACGTAGTTCGAAGTGGTTGTCTCAAAGTGTTTTACATGGCATGGAATACGCAAAACTTGTGCGGCAAAGCAACCCACGCAAACGAAGCGCGGCAGGAGCAGGGAGGACGCGAAGGAGACCGAGGTGGCAACACTTCCATTCTCTTCACATTCTTGGTTGTGCCAACCGACTGGTACTAAGTGCAATCCGATTCAAATATTCTCGATCTGTAAAATATGCTAAAAACGACTGCAGCGATAAAACTCCAAATTAAAGTATCAGCATTTACCAACAGCACACGCATAAAAGATTGTGGGACAGAGAGTTGTGGGACGTGGTGAAAAAGGAGATACTAATTAACATACGTTGCAATCTTGCATAAAGCAATATCAGAACACATTCGTTCAGAGATTGAGAAATGCACGAACGATATGAAATTCATGTTCAGCGATCACATTCGATTCGAAGGGGGAAAATAGTAACACTGGATTTCCTCTGGTGCGATTTAAAAATAACTGGGTCTGTGCATAACTTCGTACAATTTCGGAAAACCTTGTTGAAAATTGTACGTTCAAAAGTGAACGCAACGTTTAATGAAATAATTTCATGATTAAAAAAACGCAATATATTTCATTGTCGTCGTACGTTAGCCGGGTTCTACGGTTTTCGTTTACTGCTACTATTATTCCCCAAATCTTGCACTCCTAAAAAGGGCCCAAATTTCTTTACGTATTAATATAAATTGGGAGCAATTTTTGTAAAGCAATGTAAATTGAATTCAAAGAAATTGCACAATAAAGCAATGTGAGTATAAAAGCTAAATAATGAGAAAAAAAATATGTGAAACCACTTGATACATGGTAAACTTCTTAACCACTAAAAACCTTTGATACCAACACATCCAAAATTATTAAACACAAAAGAAATGAATATAATAAACATTTTATTGATACAAGCAAAATACACAAAATGTTCACACAGATGCTCCAGCCACAGCATTCTCTTTCTCTTCCACAAATTTGTAATGAATATCCTTGCAATCTTCATTACTGATGTGTATCCAGCCTGTACTGCGCATATGATAAACTGTAAGAAAAAAAAAATTTTTGTAAAGAGAAATGCTTTTACTACAAAAAATGAGTAAATGCTTGAAACTTAATAACACAGAAGATTCTACATTCTAAACAAACAAAAGAAAGAGTCAAACAAGTGCTGAATTTTCCAGTAATTGAATAAAATGTGAGAATGAAACCAAGCATATTCTTGAAATTTTTCTAGCCTTCACAGCTGCCCTTGCCAAAAGTGCCAATTAAGTTGAGGAGATGGATGCATATACACAAATTAGAAGCGCAAAAACATCACTGAGACTCCACAATGTGATTATCATTCTTCGCTCAGATTTAAGGACGAAACTTTTGAATGGTTGGCAGAAAATAAAACCTTGAGACTATAAACCTTCAAGTTACCACCTGTCAAAAGTTATAATATACCCCCAATTCCTTCAAACTAAGATTAATGACACGAAATTTTACCCTTCTGGATTAGATTTTCCAAAGAGAATTATGTCCTAGCAAGAAAAGAACAGTACGATCACTAAAAGTTTGTATGAGCATTTGGAGATATCGACTGTACACACGTTATATACAAAATAATTATGTCATATGATTAATCCATATTGCATACAACATTCCCTTTTCACATTTTATGTTTGGTAACGGTTGTTAAAAGGCAGAGGATAATCCTTCAAAATACCCAAGAAATCAGGTTAATTATCACTGTTATTATTCTCCTGCAAGCACATAATCAAACTATGTATCAGACTACGTAAAGCATTTGCATAGCTGTTGCAAACACACCACCAAACCCACAAAACAGGCAGACAACTGACAAACACCAAACCCACAAACAGGCAGACAACTGACAAGCAAATACTTCAACTTTCACTTCATAACATTAGCAAAAGATTATTTACAGAATTCTGAGCAAATACCATTGCTTTCACCGAATGCTTGACAGCATTTCCTTGTGCTAAAACTTAATACTAACTGGAAAATTTTTACTTTTTATTCACCAGTGAATAGTTTAAAATTTTTTGCTTTTCTACTGCCACATTCCACACATGTACCAACTTTGACTATGACATTTTTCAATCATATCGATTCTTACAGCTTGGGTGTTTTTTGAAGAACCTCATTTAATTGTACATCTTAAATGAGGTCACACACTATTTTTTCTAAATTTGAGTAATAACATTAAGAGGAGGAAAAGTTTTGGCATGCTGCACATTCCCACTAGTTTTCAGTATAGTACATCTCTAGGTTTAGTATTATGCAAAAACAATTACAATCTTCCCCCCGTTTTTTTGAGATCTCATTTCGCAAGATGTAAGAGAAGGTGGAGGAGGGTTGATTATTTTGAAGACAGTACTATCATATCATATATGGAGCCTGTTTTCTAAGCAAATATTTTCAACTATCCAGGAACAAAATGTCTTTATATTGAATGATGTTAAGAACATTAGTTGCTATCTTTTATTCATAATTGAACTATGTATTGGGAACAAGACTGTATTGTAATGGTTTTGGATACCAAGAAAACATCTACACTGGTTGCTATCGAAATTTTTTTTAGTTCACAGCCTATCTTTAACCTAGCAATATGAGAAACACATATTTCACAACAAATTCTAACATTAAAACTGAAACATTTTTTTAATTTGAAATCATTGCAAAAACTAATAACATTAACTACAATAGTTATGTTCCGCAATATCAATATCCAAGACCCAATAATAATAATAATAAAAATAATAATAATAATAATAACAACAACAATTCATCAGACATTCAACAATCATTCTATTTTTCTTCACTCTACAAAAGTAACTTGGACATGAATTTTAATTGTATCTAGGCGTGAATGTGTTAAGTGTACAAGAGAGCATACTTATTCATATGAAATGTTTGGAAAACAAAACTTTGCTGATGGATCTTAGATATTGTCGTAAAAAGGTATGAATGCAGACAAGTGTTCTACATGAACTAGTTATTGCTTTAGTTGAAGTATATTAAGTATCATTATCACGTATTTGCAAGTGGGTCGGGGTGAATAAAAGTGAAACCTATTATGAATGATTTACACATTAGGCTGAAACTGTGACAGAAGGGTGCATTGTTGTAGGAAAGTGTTTAACAATAGTGGAGAATTATAAAATGCCTTATGAAGGAATAATTATTTAAATGGATGAAAGTTCAGCAAGAAGAAGTAGTATTGAAGTAAAAGAGTCGTGAGAAATGGAAGGAATTGAATCTGTGTCAACATTATTTTTCACGGCTATTGAAAATAAAGAATGAGAGCTTATAGATAACAGAAAAACTTTGAGCAAGTCGAGATCCACTGTGTGACCTCAGATTTTTGGAGATATTATAGTAGTCTAAGTGGTTAATGGCACCTTTCGGTCAGCCACTATTTATTAAAGATCCTAAAATGCAAACTCGAATTCAATTAAAAGCACCATATTTATATTTATTTTTTCATTACCTCGGTGCGAGGTCAAAGATCAATTTCAAACTTTTTTTATATATATACACTACATGATAGAAAATGAAACATTTTACAAGGTAGCAACTGACAAAGTATAGGGAAAATACATAAAATTCCACAAAAATTATGGGTACAAGTAGTTTACATTTTAGGTTAGATTTCTAAAATTATTTTTAGTTATAAAAAGCAAGTTAAATTTGGATGTGGAAACCCCAATTTAAAAAAAATATAATCTTTTAGTGACAAAGTGAGTGAGGAAGACAGGGTATTTCCAAGTAAGAGCAAGGCAGAGAGAGGCTGGGCAAGACGGAGCGGGAATACAATAGAATAGAAATATGTAGGTTCCATAGCAGGGTGGAAATAGATGGAATCATTTATTCTTATCTAATAAATTATTGTGATAAATACTCCGGCTACGCAGGGTACTTATGCTAGTGTACTAATGCTATGTTACTAATTTCAGATACAAGAAACCAATTCCTATTTTTGAATATGGGTTTAAAGTACATAGATAAATAATGTAGAAATAACCAAATTGCCAAAGTTTTTAATATTTGTAGGCACAGAAATAGAAGACTTACCTCTAACAATACCACCACTGTAAGCATCACGATGAGTGGCATGATAAATTGCCCTACGACCTAAATCATAAGCTTCTTCATCAGTAAGATCCCAGCGATAACCTGAGTCTAAAACGCCAAAGGCATACACAGATCCAGAGCCAACAGAAAACACTTTGCCAGCAGTTCTAGTGCCTTCACTATCAACATAGTACAAACCAGGTCCCTAGAACCAATTATTATTATTATAAATTTCAAGTTTTAAAGTAAGAGACATTATATAATTACAATTATATGTCAATTCAATTTTTTTAAAATTATTTCTTTTCTTTTTTTAATTTTTATTTTTATTCAAGAACATGAATTCAATTTAACAATTTATCCAAAATGTAAATTTTTCTCTAAAAATCATATTTGAAGTAAATTTATTGTATTTATATAACTAACAAATAAAACCTGTTAAGTTTTATAATAGCTAGATTTTGCCATTATCTCTAACTAATTTTATTGAAATCTACAAAATGGGTCTTGTAGATTTTGTGTATAATTTTTCCAAAAGTAACCCTCAACAATTCTTTAAACTAGACTGTTGACAAGGAAACTAAACTGAGTGCACTTCACATATTGCCGTATTGTTTCATAAAACCTCAGATTTTCATAAAGAATACTCACTTTATACAAAGACCTAATTCATTTTAGTTTAAATTTTCATAACAATTTAATTGAAGGACAAACTGATTTTATTTGAGAATGCATTTTAAAACAAGTATTTTAAAACCATTCTAGTAACTTTAAAATAGAAACTTCTAGACGAGAAAATTTATTAGCAAACCCATGTATCTAAGCATTCTCTATAATACTGATTTTATAAGAAAGGAAACCTTTTACACATTAGCACAGAAGAGATAAAACAAAATGTTTTAATCAGAAGCTAGAATAAAACACGTGTAATGTCAACAATCAATCTAGCAAAGTCAAATCACACAAATTTTCAACACTTCTAAATTTACTCCAGAATAAATGAAACTAAATTTATGCTAAACCAAAAACTGTAAAAATATTACAGACATCTTACCCTTTTATCCCAACCACATATCATCATTCCCATACTCAGCCCCATTCCCTTATAATTATAAACCATGTTTGCCATTAACTTTGAGGCAGCAGCAACAGAAATTCTTTCGCGATTACGAAGTTCATACATTCTGCACTGCTTTGCTAAAACTCTATCCCAATAGACACAATCAGCAGCACCACCAGCCAAAGTACCTAGTAGGTAATCATTTATCTCCACAATTTTCTTCATAGTTTGTGAACCTGAAAGTAAGCAGACTCGCATTTGATTTCTTCCATATGAAATTATGAATCAATAGCCGAAATATGGTGCAAGTAGTTTACCTATGTATTGGCCACCAGTTGCTCTGGAATCTACTGCCAAAACCACACCACCTTGATATTGAAATCCAAGAGTCGTGGTTCCATGATCAAACTTAATTTTTAACTGTTTACCACTTTCATCAACGGAAAACTTTTGGAGATTCTCAGCAGGCTACAAGAGAAAAATAACGTTATAACACAAAGGTTAGGATGACCACGCACAAAAAATATTCAGTAAAATACAACTTACGTCTGGGAATGGAGGCAAAGCTAAAGCCGTATGAGAAACAAAGTTCCCAGTGAAAAAGTTTTCATCAATGTCAGCCCCCATATCTTTGGGAACTCCATTAAAATTAAATGTTTTATCAAACCCACACAACTCAGCCAAAGCCATAATCGATCAGCAACAATGCAGGCACTGGCAGGTACCAACAACGGACGATGACAACACAACTCACAACAGACTTAAACTGATTCAAAGAAGTTGCACAAATATTTCCAGAAATGCACTCTCACAATCTCCAAAGACTTTCTAATCTATATGTGAAACAAAGAGCTTCTACACTACGGCACAAAGAGCTTATAACTACACAACGGTGTAGTTATAACATTTGATGTGAAATGAGAGATGTGGTTGATACCAAACAGTATATCACAGAGATGGCACTCAATGTTAAAAGGAAAAGTCTTACTTGCCCAACTTCCGGTGCCGCACCAAATTATACATTTTTCTGTATAATTTCTATTGGGTAAACGGAGAGCCAATAGCGAAGAAGTAACCGGTAAATTTGAAAGAAACCAGCAACGCGGGAACTTTAAAATTTCATTCCCATACCAAGCCTTAATTTTTAAACAATTCACAATAATAATTATAAGGATTTTATGGAAGAAAAAAGTCCAATTATGGTATTAAATCTAGTATTTATTGAGCATATTGATATTATACAATTTTGTAATTTCATTAGTAATAACAATTTTATATTACAGAAGGTAATAATAGTACACCTGTACAATTGCAACTTTTGTATTTGCTTGTAGATATGCCAAATTAATATAAATACTATGGAATACTACATTATTACAAGCATTATGAATGATCAATATGAACATAATTAAAAAGTAACCAATGAAAATACTACTGCACATTTGCCCAGGTAAAACAAATAGTTATGATAAAAGGGGTGAGAGTGCCATTTTGTTTTGCGCATAGGAAAGGTAGCGCCACTAGGTCAATAAGTCAGGTGCCCCATTTCGACAAGCAAAATAAGATCACTTTCACCATGCTTTTTTAAGTGGTACTGCCTTTCATTTTATTTTAAACCAAGAATACGAATTACATAATTATGTACTGTTACATTAAGATCAGTAGTATCTGATTAGGTCACATGAATGTATTTTGTTTCCTTTGTTGCTTTCAAAGTTTTATCAGAACATTTGAGCATTGTCCCACAATTAGTAGTAGTGCAAAAAATTGAGCTTTTAGCATGCTCTGCATGCCTTGAAAGAACCACTTTTACTAGTTGCAACCTAAAATGTTTTTCGTCAGTCAATAAAGATTTGACAAAATTATTTTATTTACCCATGCTAATCTCACACATGCACAGTTCAGAGCCTGGCTTTTTAAAAATGGGATCCACTGTGAAAATACATTCACTTTTAAAACAATGATTTACAAATAGTGAAATTCCATCCATGCTTATGCACCACAATTTAATTCTGAAAATAGATTGTCAAAGTGCTAATATTTGCTAGCACCAGGAGCCAAGCCTGGGATCTTCTGATAACTGTGCAGATGTCCTAATAACTGAGCTATGGAATCAAGCATTGCATTCACGACTCATAACAATCCACAATCTAATAAGGATC